TAAGAATAAGGTATCGTTTGAAACTGCAAAGGGTCTACTTTTATTTGTGTATAGTCATAATAACAACAAAACAATGTGTTTTTGTAAAAAATACAAAAAAAAGAAGAAAATAAACAGGGTGCATTCTCTGCCGTCTCGATCTCTGTCACCTCTCTTCACAGACACATAAATAAAACAACCTGAATCTCAGCGAATACTTGCCTCAAAGACAAGATAAATATATGTATAGAAAGCTTGAAATGTCTACTTTTAAATTAACCAATTCAAGTCGAAAACAAATAATTTCTTTTTATGTAATCTGTATGAAAGTAAGGAGTGGTCCGGTTTCTCCCGTATCGCCTCATTATAGCTAATGTGATCCCGCCCCGCTCTGAGCGCGCTGTTCATATGGAAATGAACTGAGGCGAGCCAGGTAATCATGTACACGCCCCCGAGAAATGGCATAAAACGTCAAGCTTCATCATAGAATTACTTACTTTTTCTGCGCGTTTGCATGATGGCACGCTACACGGGTGAAGAAGCACTTCGGATGGTTCTGGACAGCGACGAAGAGTTGACTTTCTCCTCAGAGGAAGAACGCGACACAGATGACGAACGTTTGCATTTTGAAGAACGTTTGGACACAGCGGAGGATATAATTCCTGACGAGTAAGCCTTTTATTATCTCACAACGCCAGGATGTTTGTTTAATGTTTTAAATGTTTTAACCACAAGATATAAAAGTATTATGAGTGTTAACACTATCTCTCAGGTGTGAATCACTAAATACACTAAATATTTGTCACTCCCTCGCATAAGGGCATTCTATCACAAAACATGTTTTACAAATGTTAAATCAATATATTGTTTTCTGTAAATAAGTGAACAGGATAATTTTCACATAATTTTGTAGCAAAAACTCTAGTCTACCACATTCTCAAAAGTCTTGTGAACAAACGTTCTGTATGTGTTTTATGGCCTTATTTCAGTGACTTAAAAAAATTTGTTTTTCACTAACCATGCATAAACATTGTTTTCTCAAAAACACAAACATGTACTTTCATGCTGCTCACAAATTATTGTAGCCCAGTTTGTGCTGAATACAGTGTTATCAGACTTTAGCCATTAAAAAAAATTTAAGATACTGAAAAAAAACAAATGTCAGGGCATGCCAAAACTTCTCCAGGGCCCCAAAACACCCTCAGACCCCAGACGGTTAAATGGCAAAAACTTTTGCTGTCATTGTTTCAACCTTAATGTAGGTTATGGTCAGTGTTTTACTGATGTAGAATTGTTTACAGTGTGTTTGGGTT